ATATATATAGTCTCTCATGTGCCACCTAAGCAATAACTAAAGCTTATCTTTATTTATTTCATGTTTTTAACAATGTGTAAATTTCCAGCACATTAAACAAAGGATTCCCCAATACATTCTCCTAGATACTAAAGTAAGGATTTCTCTACCATCCTCTGTATCGTTCTCTATTGTAAGTAGGAAAGAATGCTATTTGATGACCTAATAATTTCAAAAAGTGTTGAAAATTATTTCCGTAAATCAGTATGCCCACCAGCATTTCAGTGCTCTCACCCATTCAGATGGGTGACTGGGGCTCTGGGGCTAACACTGCCTTCCCTAGCCCACTCAACAGCCTCCACTCCTGCTCCCAGTCCTGACCCCCCAGTTGCCACCTGCAGTTCTTCGCTGCCTGTGGCCCTCTGTCTGCTTCAAGCCCTCAGAGACACAAGTTCAGTAAACCTGGAGATCACCACTAAACTGAATACTCATCACCAATTTACTGTTCTTATTTATTTATTTATTTATTTTCCTGCAAAGCTTTAATCCAGAGGGGTTCAGTCCTTGGCAGCTGCCTTCCTCATGGCGGCCAGCACGTTGCTCAGCTCCTCACTCTTCCTCTTGGTTCAAATGTGTGTTCCCGTCCTTTTCTTGATGAACTTGAGGATGCGCTTGTCCTTGCAGACCTTGAGCAGCTCCGTAGCGTACTACTCGTGGGAGGTGAAGCCGCGCACCTCCCGATCATGTCCCGCAGGAACTTGGTGGGTTTGGTGAGGTGTCCACATGACGGCTGTGCCTCGGTTTGCTCACATTCTTAGTCACTTTGTGGCCCTTGTTGAGGCCCACGCCATGGGATAGCAGAGAGCCATGGCTACTCTTCTTCACTTTCAATGGTTGCTGTAGAGGAAGGAAACACTTTTTTTTTTTTTTTTTTTTTTTTTTTGCAGGACCAGGAATAAGCAGCAGGCAAGCGCTTATTCTACTGAGCTATTTCCCCGGTCCCCCCTATTTATTCTTTATCGTTTCCTTTCTCCAAAAGTCATTGACAAGCAAAACCTCACTTTGTAAAGCAGAAACTAAACCTCGAAAAGGTCAGTGAAGACTGGTAGATGCGGAGCCACGGCGAAAGCCCAGGCCCCCACCCCACGCGGCGTAGCCCTCCGGTCCTCCGCGCAGCAGCCCTGCCTCCTCAGAAGACTCAGGCGCAACCGGAGCAGCGCCCTCTGCAGAACGCGAGGAAGGGCCCCGCCCTCTGCACGCCCCCTTGCGCTGCGCACCGCTCCTCTAGGTGGAAGCGGAGCCCTCCAAGCGTAGCTAGAGCTGAGCCTTTGGCTGAGAAATCACCCCCACTTCAACCACGACATCAAGATACTCATTTTCACGCTGCTGTGAGAATGCTTCTTGTTCCTTCACCGTATTTCAAGTCAGAATCAGTATTTCAAAGGGCTGCACGCGGGCTCCATTTCATCGCCACGGAACAGCGCGGCAAGGCCGGCTGCAGTCAGCATCTCCCCATCGCGCCCATCAGAGCAGCTGACCGCATGAGTGTCCTGCTCCCTCTCACTCTTGCAAACAGCAGCAAGAAGGAGCGTTCACTCTGCGGTGCTCAGAACAGGACGGGGCTTGGCACACTACCTTCAGTAGGGTCAGAATGGAGAGTGAGGCATTCGATGATTTAGCAGGGTCCCTGGATTATAAAAAGAAACTAGGCTCTGCGCTTCTGAAATAGCGTCCATCACACATACATTGTTGCCCACACACAACGCGAGCTGTTAGAAAGACTAACGCAACAGCTACCTGTGTCAGGCGGCTCATGACGCACGCAGCACACAAGTCTATGTGCAAACCGATGACCTACAGCTCAAGAGACACCCAAGTGACCAGCAGGGTGTCAGAGAAGTGCCCCAGGAAAGCTACCTGTGCAGACCTATAGAAAGCGCTGCATTTGGCACCATGGGAGTCACAGAAGGGTGACCTGAAGCCCCCAAATCTGATTTCACTGGTGCCTCCACCCTGTCTTTGCCATCCATGTCCTGTTTTTCTATTTTTGAGGTAAAACTATTCTCAAGGACCTGCAGCCAAAGGCTGTATCACTGACAGGGCAGAAAGACAGCAGGACATTCCTTCCTCTCTCCTCCTTTCCCCCTTAATCTGTCCTCCTCCTCCTTGCTCGTCACCCTCCACCCCGCTGCCTTGTTTTCTCTGCTCCTTCTCCATGCTCAATCCCCTCCTCACCTTGTCAGCTACCTTCCCTCACAACATCCATCTCATACTTCCTAAAGAATACCATGAGCTTGAGCCTCAGAACACCACAAGCCAGGCAGGGGCTACAGGTCAGCAGCAGCACACCTGCCCAGTGTGTGAGTGGCGCTAGGTCTGATCCCCACTGCTGACACAAACATGGGGGCTGCATACCCTAAAAAGTAAATCTCAGGTCAACATTGTTATTACTTCCTTGCCCTGAGTAGAAGCACAACAGTTGCTGAACTCAGCTAAATATAATATATCCTACTGTTAACTATTCATTTTATTTAGCTTGCTTATGTGGCAGGGCCTTAAGTAGTTTCTGTTGGGGCCAGGGAGATGGCTCAGTGGAATAAGCGCTTCCCTGGCAAGCGCAAGGGCCTGAGTTCAATCCCTGGTTTCGCAAAAAAAAAAATAAATTAAGTAGTTTCTGTAATTGTCTCTACAGTGTCTGGCCGGAGACTCTGGTGGGAAAACAAAACCCAAGTGGAGGGTCAAGGCCCACGGCACCAGAAGCACTGTAGACCGTGCCACACGTTTATTTCCACAAGAGCCACCATAAGGGAGCATAGCTCCATGGCAGCATCAGCTATGACCTTAAATCTAAATGCTGACCCTTGCTAAAGCATCTTTGATCATCTTTCCAACCAACACTAGTTTTTTAATGAACAAGGAAGGACACAGTCTCTAGAAGCATCAGCGTCTGCCTTCCCACCGGCCTTCGGGGCAGGCATCACCCGTCACGAAGGGGTGGTTCTTCTCTGACCTCGTTTGAGGATGGAACCTTTAATCGAAATAGTGTCACCCCCTAAACCCACTGCTGTACACCAACGCAAGTGACCGCAGAGGGAGCAGGGCCTATAAAAGGACAGAATTAAATGCTGCACTTTGTCCACCTCACAGCAGACACAAGCGTACCAGGCCCAGCTGATCAGGAAAAGCAGCGATGTGTCCCAGGAGGCCTTCCGCGGTGAGTCCCGCACTGGTGTGCTCTGCACTTATAGACCTGGGCCAGACCATATTTCAGGACTGCGACATGAAATGCTATTCTCTGGGGAGACCCATGACTACTGTATACGCAGGGTAGGAAATGAAACGATTGGTAGAGCTTAAATTATTGTGCAGCATTTTCAAGAACTGATATGCATCAGTTTGAAAGATGAGATTAAAACTGAAAGATTGCTGTACTAGGGCTAAACCACATAAGAAGAGTCTCATGATGCGGTGCCGTAAAAAAAAAAAAAAAAAAAAGAACGCTTACTGACAATCTGTTTTCCAGAGTTCAAAGTATGTAATGTCATTCTCCCACAGCATTTTTCTTTAATCTGTATTAAAACAGGTTACTATACTTGATGGCCTGAAAACTAACAGAACCAACTCTGTTTCCATTATGTGTTTGCCATAGTTTTAATACCAAAGCTATTTGTTCAGCTGTACATTTAACTGTGCTTTAGAATATGCAGACTTTGTAAAATATTTAACTTAAAATAATCTATTTTGAAATGTAGTTTTGTTACAGAATCCATGTGTTATAAATTCAGAAAACACAAGGGAGAGCGAGTTCTTAGCTGCGTGTCTTGCAGTAGGGCCTGCGCTCAGCGTGTCTCCATGCGTGCTGACGCCCCTGGGCTTCCTGCAGCCCTTCCCTCCAAGATGCAAATATGACTTAGCATAGGGCTTCACAGCAGGGTAGGATTAAGAGCAAGGGTGCCGAGAGCCACTTCCTCCTGGACAATCAAGGTCATCCACTCTTCCACTGACCTGGAAGTGACAGTGTGCTGTGGCCTGATGACATGGCGTGACTTAGCATTTTACTGAAATTGCTGCCATCCAGGGTATAATGTATTTTTCCTAAGTCAAAAGGAAGATGTTGAAAGTGGGTAACATTCAATGATTTTCACATGATACGTGTCATCTAGTAGCTTTTCATTTAACTTATCTGAAAGTTTAATATTGTTAGTCTCAGAACATAATGCTTATGATTCACAATCATCAAAATTGATGATCTTCAAAATAAGTTTTTCAACAAGAACCATAGGCTAATCCAGTCTCCCTTCTTTCTCTCTTCTTTACCACGCAGTTGCAGTCATTTCTACTCCTGAGTCTTGTGGCCACTGTGAAGGCGGGAATACCAAGCCTACGGAATCCAGGGTGTCCACCCACTCCTGAGGTCAAGAACTTCATCCAGAATGTCAACGTCAACCTGAGCATCTTTAATCCCCCTACACAAAATGTGAATTCCAGGAGGTCCTCCGACTACTATAAACGATCCACCTCACCTTGGACTCTCCGGTACGTCAGCATTTCACATCAATCTCTGTGTTCTCAAATGTCCCGTGCATCATCCTGCCAGTTAGGTCACCCTGACCGTGATCTCACTCAGAGGTCATCAAACCCCGGAAGGGCACCTGCACCAAGTGGCTAGTCCCAACTTCCATGGTGCTGACTGCTTTCCCTAGCTTGGGTGGCCGCACCTCCTGACACTTACCCTGTTAGAGCTCAAACCAAACACCAACCCAAATTATCAGTAATCATTATTCAAATATTAATGTTTAATGAGCAGTATGTATCTATACTTGCTATGTCTTTACTATGCCCAATATTTGGACCCCATCAACGATTCAAAAGCAATGACCTTTATCATCTGACTTTATGCAAATAAGCCTCAGGTAAGAGACACTTCCAGACTTACCTGCCTATAAGGTTTTTTTGCCTTGTCCCAATAAATCAAAAGTCAAAGCAAATCCTTTCTTCAGCTGGAGGGACTTAGGCTTAATTCCCAGCCTTTCGTAACTCCTCTCAGCTGCATCTCATGAAAACTTTGTCAGGTTAAAACCTTGATGTTGTCCCGCTTCCCAAGGTAAGTTTCTTCAAGTCAAGTGGATAGTTACATACCTATTCCTAGAGCGCTCCAAGTCTACTCTTCCTTTGGTTTTTCTTTTTACCTCAATCAAATGCACCTTAAAATTTTATCTTTTGTGTCATACTGAAATCCCTTCTGTGGCCTGACTTATTTTGTTCATTCTTGAAAGAAGTTGAGTAGGGTAACAATTGTGTCTTCTCTTCTATAATAATTAAACTCCTTGAAAATGTAGGTTTAGGTGCTGAAAGTGTATCCCAGTGGTAGAGTGTGCGTCTGCATGCACAAGGCAAATTCAATCACTGGCAATGCAATTAATTAATTCTTTTTTAAAAATCCAAGTGTTCCCCAAGTTCTTCAGACCATAATCACTTAGAAATTTGGCAATGCCTATGCTTTGTTGCCCAGTGAATTCTTTTTGACTCGCTTCCAACTTTACCTGGAATTCACTTTCCCCACCACTTTCCTCCCCGCTGCAGCCGCAACGAGGACCCCGAGAGATACCCACCTGTGCTCTGGGAGGCCGAGTGCCGCTACTCCGGCTGTGTCAACACAGCGGGGAAGGAGGACCACCACATGAGCTCCGTCCCCCTACAGCAGGAGATCCTGGTGCTGCGGAGGCAGCCTCGCGACTGCCCGCTCTCCTTCCGCCTAGAGAAGATGAAAGTGACGGTGGGCTGCACCTGCGTCAGCCCAGTGGTCCGCCATGTGGGCTGAGAGTTGGGTCAGAGCCTCGCCCACCAGTAGCCCGAGGCTTTCTGGGCAGCAGACGCAGCACTCAAGAACCTTGTCCTCAGACCTCACTCCATTTCAGACCCAACCCCCCTGGAGGGCTTAAAACAGCTTACCCTGTTGAGAGCTGGCAAATAATACTGTTCAGGATGGGATCAGAGCCTCTGTCCTCTCTCACCAGGGATGAGCTTGTTTGCTTCTTGTCTGCTTATCTGAGGTCTTTAAGTTATTTATGTATTTAATATGTCCTGAGATTGGTTTGGGGCATAAGATTGCATTTTAGTGAATTATGTACCTTGGAAATTTTATTATTTAAAAAGTAGAACATATTTATATGAGCTATTTATGAATGCGTTTCCTATGTCTTTAGAGGAAGCTGGAATTTCCCTAGTTCCATTTTCCCTAGGGGAATCCAAGATAGGATTAAATGACAACTGGAAATCTCTGAGCTCTCACATATGCGAGTGTGTGGTTGCTTCCTTTTGTCTTTTAGAAGTGCATGACGTGACCAAGAAGACTAAAGCTGATTTCATATTTATTAACTTGAACTTTTAAATTATTGAGGCTTCTTGGGGGTGCAAGTCCACCTGTGTCTTGTTAAACTTTATGATACACTCACTGTGATAATAAAAGTTGGAAAGAAAATCATATCCTCGCCCTTTCTCATTAGCATCCCACATGGCCCTGCACATCCCCACACTGGCGTCATTGGACATAGGCTAGGGATGAGAAATGCTGCCGCCCTGTGCTAGTTGGTCTGTACTGAGCACATACAGATGCTCTTCCTTGTCATGATTTCCTATGCGCTACAGCGTAAGAACTATTTACATAGCACTTACGTAGGCTGAGGTATTCTAAGTCATCTAGAGATTATTTGCAGTATAGAAAGCGATGTGCGTAGGTTACAGGCAAACACTACCGACACGTATGAGGGCCTTGTGCATCCACAGGTTTTGTTATCTTGTGGAGAATGCCTGTCACAGATCCCCCAAAGACACTGGGGAACAACTATACATGAGCAAGTTCAGCTCTTTCCTAGTGAGAAGTGTGTGCAAGTCCAGAGCTCAGCGAAGGACGGCTTTGGGCAACATGCCTGGAATCGCTCCAGTCCAATTCTTAATTTCAGATGCCTGCTTGCCACGGAAGACAGATATCTTAACTAAAGATCAAGTGGGAAAAATAAAAGAACCTCCCACTAATACAAACTAAAGTTTGTCATTAAAAAAAGTGCTAAGAGGAGACTGCTTTCAAACTAGTGTGTCCAGAGTCTCCCTGAAAGTCAGTGTCCTTTGAAGATTACGGCCCATCAGAAGCTAACAGAGGCCACTGTCCTAGCACCTGGCCTCTGATCTAACTCACCCCAGAACCCAGAACAGAGCCCAGGAGGTGGACCAAGCTTGCAGCCTGTGAAAAGTTCGGTGCAAGTAAAATAAAAACTGAAGCACATTCAATTTCAGAGTAGCTTTGAGTTTCAAATCATAGCCGCCCCCTCTCCTGACCCATCTTGCCCTACTTCTGGAGTTCTCTGCAGCTTCTTCCGCCAGCGCCGGTGCCCTGTTTCCTGGAAACCTGCCCACTTCAGTCCTGCATTCACAGCCCGCCGCAGCTCTGCCCAGGAGCCCGAGGCCTTTCCTGCTCCTTTCCAAGCTCCGCACCCTGAGGTCAGATGCTCTGGCTCCTGCCCTGGAGATACTCTGTGCTCCTGCATCTTCGCTCTTCTCTCTGTTCCAGTCACCAGCTTCCTAAAGGCCATCCGTGCCCAGCTGCCACTTACAGGTTCTCACCGCATAACTCTGCAAAGCGTATTGCTAAAAACCCACCACTCATTATTCTTTCCTGAGTGGTGAAAATAAAAGTTTTTCTTTTAGGGGCAGGCAAGCGAAGGACATACATATGTTTATGGTCCTGAGCCGTTATTTTACACTAGATTGCTTTTTGGGTGAGAAGAAGTTGCCTCCTGTGTTAGTCCAGTTTTGTTCTTATAACATAATACCCTATGCTGAAAATGCTGTGGAGAAAAGGGGATTTGTTTAGCTCACAGTCCTGGAGATTCAAAAGTCAGGCCGCAGCAACCGCTCGGCTTCCGGTGAGGACCTCGTGTTGGAGGGCACCACATGGCGAGAACCCACGCCGGGGAGAGCCTCAAGGCAGGCGCCCATTCTCTCGAGAGCCCCCGAGGCCTGGGGCGCGCTCACTCGTCACCTCCTGGTGAGGCCCTCCTGTCTGAGAAGCTCAGCCTGGGGCCGGCCAATCCCCACACCACCAGTGCCTTGGGGAGCGCGCATCAAGCACCTGCGCGTTTGGAGCCCACGCATCGCTCCACCGTAGCATGCCCTCTACCCTCGTCCCCGCGGGCCTGCCTCCTCTCACAGCCCCCCGGGTAGCACTGCCACCCGCAAGCCACCCGAGCTGGGGCCAGGGGCCCTCTCCAGCCGGCCTTCTCCTCCTCCTCCTCTCCCTCACCACGAACCTCCTCGCGTCACCAAGCTCGCTATTTTGTCTTCCCGAATGTCCCCCCACCGCCCCCCATCCTTCCTCACCTACCGCGTCCTGCCCCCAGGTTCAGGGCTTCACCTTGCCTCCTTTCTTTCCTCACCTGTTTCCCGGCTCCCCGTGGTCCCTCCCGCCGTGGCTCCCTTGCCCTTCGGCCCATCCCCTAACGTCTGCCCATGGCGCCGTCAACCCCCAGGAAGGGCCCTCAGGGGTGATCGGCCTCGTGCCACTTCCTCCGTGGCTGTTACATTCTGGGTGCAGCCGGGAGGTCGCGGCAGCAAGGCCCGCGCTGTCCTTGACCCCAGCGAGCGCGCGGCTGTCACCCTGCGGAGCCCTCAGCACAGCCGCCTCCGCGCAGCCCACCTGCCTCGCTCTCTGCGGTGCGCGCAGGCATTGTCCCCTGCAGAGCTGCGCAGATCCCCGGACCCTGCTGTCCCAGATGGGGCTGTCCTCCCCTCACACCGAGACCGTACGGATCTCCCTTTGTCACCACTCTCGCAGGTCATATCTGCTTCATTTATTCGACCAGCTTGTGGTCCGTGGAGAGCTGCGACGCCACGGCAGAAAAGCCAGCGCTGAGCTGACCTGGACCAGGAGTCCACGGAGACGAAACCGCGGGCTCTGCGCTCACGCCCGAAGCGGCTCCCGGGATGGCATCAGCTGCTCATCTGAGCCAGAAACTGCGCCTCCTCTCTGCGCCTCCTTGTCCTCCTCTAGCCAGAGGCAGACCCCCGGCGACACCGCCTGGTCCTCTCTGCCTCTCCAACTCCAAGGCGGCCGCTGCAGTTCCACCACAGCGGGCTTGCACTGAGGAGCCCCGCAGACTCCCGAGCGCGTTGGTCGCGGAGTGTTTCCAGACACATCTCACAAGTGGCCTGGCCCACTGACGTGGGACACCCACCCTGCGTGGGCGCCACCGTCGGGTACAACAGGGCCCATTGCAGCGCATGTAGAAGAGGGCCGCCTTCCGCTGACCACCTGCTGGACGAAGTCCCCCTTCGTGTCCGCAAGTGCCACTGTCTTGGGGAGTCCACCCCTGATCACCCGGCACGCAGCTTCCCTGACTAGCTTTTCTCCGTGCATTGACGTCCTACTAGGCCCGCGCTGAGTTCAGCCACTGTGCTTTGGGCTATCTAATCCCGCTGAAATGAAGGTGCTGTGCAGGTGGGAATTATTTTCTGCTTCCTCACTACAGAGAACAGCGCCAGCGCACAGTAGGTGCTCAATAAACCTTTGGTGAATGCATGGATAGGTGGACGAATAATATATAAAACACTGACAAAATTAAGATCAATGTTAACAACATCTGCTAATAGGACAAAAGATATAAAGTGACAATTTTCATGAAATAAGACATTAAAATGTCTAAGAAATACACTGGAGAAATATTTATTGAGTGTCATTGGGGATCAAGTATATTAAACAGTCTTTGGCCTAAAATTAAAATGGCTTACTTTTATTAGTGTTGTTAATAATGTGCTAAATTGAGCGACTACTCAGGGCTAATGAGCATAAATGAGTGAAAAGGGATTATATCATCTAAATGCTTTGAAAATGTTCATGGTTTTTGACCCAATAATGACGACAAGACAACTTAAACTGTATAGAAAAAGCCCTGTGAATAAAAGCTCAGCATGACACCTTTTCAGATGTTCAAGCTGTCGTACACAAGTAAGTCATGAGACTGATTCAGCCATTTAAATTAGACACTGAAAAACAAGAAGTAAATATGTGAAAATGTCAACGACAAATTATTCTGCATTTTGAGGAAGAGTGTTTTTCCTTCATAATTCTGACTCTAAGTAAGCATTTCTTTCAAAATGTGGAACAGTTCTTATGATCTGAAATTTTACAGCTTTAGGGCTGAGAGAGCTCAGTGGAATTAATGCTTTCCTGAAATTTTACAGCTTTAAAAGTCAGATTTTTTGGTGAATTAAATGCATGGCTTCCATTCTTAAAACAATAGCATAAGAAATGGGGGAAACGAGATGATTAAAGTGGTCCTCACAGAACCAATACCTAAAACGTGGAGCCTCAGATTGAAAAAGAAAGCAAAACCGGGCCACTGAGCACTGGCCTCTTACGTCCCCTAGTGGCCACTCACTGGAGCAGACAAAAAGCAAGGTGACAATCCACTCCTGACAGGAAAGCTACAAACTCCAATAAAGGCTTCACTCTAAAACAAATCTTAACAATATCAGGAAAGAGATCTGGCCTGCACGTAGCAGCAGTGGAACAAGCACATACTTTCGTTCCTTTCTGTGGACAGGACGCGCTGCCACAGTGAAGGCCTGGAGCCACCGGCCCGGTGCTGTGTCTACCCCACTGTAAGGCACTGTCCCCACTGAAGAACTCAACGAGTCTACTTCAAAGCACAAATGACAAAAATGGACTAATGAGGAAATGAGCTCCTCAGTGTCGCCTCATCTTCACGTCCTCTGCCTTAGCACACCTGAGGTGACAAATCACTTCAAAAGTAGTGTTGGATTGGA